ATTTAAATTAAAATAATTTTTTTACTTCTTCTCTTCTGTATGGGAAAGAAATCGTTCACATCTGGTTCACAGAAAAAAAAATCTTCTTCGTTATTATGTTCTTCTCTCTATTTGATAAATAGTTGATTCTTCTTCCAAAATAGGTTTGATTTTATATGGAAACTGTATAAATTAGAAATTTGGTATATATGATAATATGACTCAACTGCCCAAGTCACTTTTTTACTCTTTCTAAACCAATCCAGTTGGAGATAAAAACAAATTTCTTCCTGAGATGGGTAATTAAAAATAAAAAAGAAGCCTATGTCAAAACATTGAATACACAAGTACGTTCATGCAAACATTTATGGGAATGTCATTTCTTGCATATAACTTTGGCTCTAAGTCCTCTGTCTCTTGCATTAAATTAGAACTAAATTTATTTTCCTCTCTCTCTCTCTCTCTCTACTATGTTACATCTTGGTTGTTTCTTAAATTCATATATTCGTTGTAATTTATATGTCATTTGAAGTAAAATTTTCATAAGCTAAAAGCAAGCTGTTTACGATAATAAAGCCTCAACTAGGTTTGGAATATGGAATCATTTAAGTAATTTCCCCAAATTGATACATTTGAAAATTCTGGAATCTATTCTTACCAATTTCTCTTATTGAATCAATCCAAAAGAAATAATCCAAACATGGCCTAAATTGTAGGCGCAACCTTTTTTTTTTTTTTTTTTTAATAATTCTTTATATATATACATACATATATTATGATTAGATTTAAACAATGGGGCCCCTTTACAGCGACCTGAAAGTTATCACTAAACTAAAGTATGACCCATTTTTTATAGTCAATTTGGTTTTTTCTTGGGACATTCAATTTTTTATCAAATTTGAGCAAATGATTCTTGAAAAGGAGTTGTTATGTTACACGAGTCCTACTCTATTTGATAGTGACTTTAATTGTGCAATCTGCATGCAACCAAATTTCGTTAGTCATAGAAGTGCAAAATTGACTTTGATTTTGGAGTTTTAAATAATATTGGGCTTTATTCGATAACTTAATTAGTAGAATAATTAATTTTTCGATCACATATGATAGTGATTGAGTTTCCTTTCTTAATTTGTAAAGAAAAAAAAGTATTAAATAATAGTAAATAATAATTATAATAATAATATTATTTGTATTGACAAGAAATTCGCACACATCACTCACACACCTACTTTATTTCTTTGACGACTCAACCTCTAATCATCATCCACTTTGAAAGATAGAGAAGATATCACTTGACCACAAGATTCTTGAAAAATAATATCAAAGTTATCGAGCCATTGACTTAAGAACATATCCCAATTTTAAATTAAAAGTGTTCATTCAGTACTCCCAAATACAAGATCCAAGTAAATAGAGCTAAAATGGGCAAAATTTCATGGATTTCAAACTCAGAATGAAGTTGATTTGAGTTGAGCCAACCTTATTCCATTCAAATGTTCGGTGAGATTAAATTTGATGGAATCTTAATCCAATATTATTAAAAGTTGGCAAATTACGAATTAATCCTACTTTCGTATTCTAAAGACAAATGAGTCTTATAATAATTTCATAAAACAATGAAATTCTACTTCGTTTTTTTTCACAAATATTTCCAACAAAGTTATTTAACGTATACAATCCATCTTTTGCCCTTATCATATATTTTGCTTCACGAATTTTCTCCAAACAATTGTGTTAAATTTTTTATTTGAATAAAAAGAATTTTAGAAAGAAAAGGAAAAAAAACCTTCATTTCAAATTCATGTTATATTTGATACAATAATTTTAGATAACATCGTCTAGACTTTATAGACATTTGTTTTTTATTCTCGACATTATTATTATTATTATTATTATTATTATTATTATTATTATTTGGGTGACTAAATATGAAGTGCAAAAAAAAATAATAATAATTCATTTATTATTCATAAATGTAATGGATGAAACGTCTACATTGTGTTTTAAGCATGTTGTGAGTAATTTATTACCAATACTTAATTTGAAATAATTTGTTAGAGCATTTCCAACCGTTGTTAAAATATTTTCAGTTGTTAAAATATTTTTTTTGTGTAAAACATACATGTGTTATGTGTATTTTTATTTATTTATTATTATTTTTTTTTAAGATACACTGCCACAATTACCAATGTATAAAATTGTTGTGTATTTTACACAATATTTTTACACAGCCACATCAATATATTTCCTTTCTCCTCCCTTTCTCATTCCATTAACGAATCAACTATATATTAAGTAGGTTCCTATATTAAGTAGGTTTGTAAAAATTATATGGGGTACATGCATGACATTAATTGGTTGTTATTGGGGGATGTATTTTTACACAAACGGTATAAAATAACTGTTCGAGCTAAAAATAAATAATCCAATTTTTTTTTTTTTTTTTTTTTTTTTTTTTTGTGTAAATCTATCGTCAACTAATTTAAAGAAAGATTGAAAACTGCACCGTTTTGAGATAAGAAAAATTTACTGTTTTGAGATAAGAAAAATGACAAAGTACATGAAACCTCCTCGACTTGTAACATTTTCCAGTAAACCCATATCTATTTTTTTTACTAAAAAAGCCCCCTCGTCTTGTAATATTTTTTCAATAAATCCCCCTTATCTAATTTTTTACCAAAGAACCCCCCACAACTATTTGAAGGGGGTAAAATATTTGATATTTTGACCAAAATGCCCTTTTATTTAAATCTTAATTCTCCCGAATTTCAAAAATTCATATTTCACAAATCGTATATTTTAAAATTATAAATAATATATGCATGGAAAGCTTATGAAATAAGGATTCCAGAAATAAAAGATTTGTACAACAAACCTTCATAACCAGAGAGGAATAGACAATCTAAAAATCTACTCCAATAATCTTATTTTATTTTTAAAAAATAAAATACTCGAGATATTTGTAAGAAATTTTTTAGAACTATTCATTTTCATATGGAGCCAAATATATAAAAAAGTTAGCCCCCAATTGAGATCAATTTCATGAGATATTATATTTTTGCGTCAAAGTATTTTCATTCTTTTATAGACTCACCATTTAAAAATTAAATAAAAATGAATATTCGGTTTCTATTGGAGCTAATTTTTTTATATGTTATACTCCATATGAAAATAAATAATTCCTGAAAATTTTCGTGCAAATAACCCGAGTATTTTATAAAAAATAAAATAAAATAATATTGTTGCAGTAGATTTTTAGATTGTTTATTTATCTCTGGTTATGAAGTTTTGTTAAATAAATATTATATTTCTGGAATCCTTGTTTTATAAGCTTTTTGTGCATATATTGTTTGCAATATTTGGATGTACGTGAGATATGAATTTTTAAAATTCGAAAAAATAAAGATTTAAATAAAAAGGCATTTTTGTCTAAATATTAACTCTTTTACCCCTTTAGATAGTTTAGGGGGTTCTTTGGTAAAAAATTAGACAATAATAATTTATTGGAAAGAATTACAAGTCGATGGGGGTTCTTTGGTAAAAAATTAGATGAGAGGGGTTTACTGGAAAATGTTAAAGTCAAGGGGGGTGGTTTTCTATACTTTGCCCTAAGAAAAATTTACCAAAGTTAAAAAACTGCACCCTTTTGAATTAAAAAAAATTCAACATACTTTAACAACGTTCAACATCGTTATCTCTCTCTTATCTTTTTCAAAAAAAATCATCCATCTCTTTTCCCTTACTCATTCTCACGAATTTGTTGATAATATTGATGGAGTTAGAAAAATACAACTAAAACCCCTATATGTAGAAAATATGAGAGAGAACGTCGGTTAAGTTAGAAGAGAAATTGAGATCATCGCAACTTGTTTAAGATAGGAATAAAGAGGAAAGAGAGGAAGATATTTGTTTTGGAAAAGATAAGGGAGAGATAACGAGTTGTTAGGTTATGGTGAATTTTTCTTAATTCAAAACGATTCAGTTTTTTAACTTTGGTAAATTTTTCTTATCTCAAAATGATACACTTTTCAAACTTTCTTTAAATTAGTAGATAAATTTTAAATGTCATGTGTCAATCTGTAGCGAATTCAATTTAGAATAACTTAGAAAATATTTAACTTAGAGGATCCAAGTTCATTTTACACAACCTTTTTATACAGTTATATCAACATATTTTCTTTCTCTTTCTATTAAAGAATTAATCATATATTAAGTAGATTTATAAAAGTTATATGGGTCCGGCATGACACATGGTTGATTGTTATTGGAAAATATATTTTTACAAAAAAAGGTATAAAATAAGCTAAAAATAAATAATTCAAATTTTTATGTAAATCTATCGTGACACATCATATTTACAAATATATATATATATATATATATATATATATATATATATATATACACATACAACGGTTGGACATGCTTTTATATACTATATGAGTATTAATTTTGGTAATAATTTGTTGTTTTTTCTAAATAGGTATTAGTTGCAAAATATCAGAGATCAAAATTTGTATTTTATTGAGGAAAGGAAGTAATAATAATTTAATAATAAAGAGCCAATAATGGAAAAAAAATTCATTGTTTATAGAGTATGTACTTATTTGAAAATATTTTTCAAGAGCGGGACTTTCGTATTGTGAAAATTTTATATGAAGGAAAGACAGTATGGTAATTTAATAATAAAAGGCAAATACAAAAAAAAAAAAAAAAAAAAAAAAAAAAAAAAAAAAAAAAAAAAAAAAAATCAGTTTTTTTATAGAATATGTAACAATGAAAAATAGTACTCATCATAAATATATTTTCATACTTTTAATAAGTATTCACCAAACAAAAAACAAAAATTTAATAGCTCCATTTAATATAACCAAAAAATAATAATAATAATAGTGTAGACCGTAGACTTGTATTGTATTGTAAAGGTCCACAAAGGTGATGTATTATGCCCATCAAGTCCAGTCGGTCTTGGATACGGCCAACACATACATTCATCTATATATATATATATATATATACCCAACATAGACGACGCAACGTTGTTCATAACCGGATGTGCATTTGCTTGTAAAGAAGTACCCGTCGGCAAACGCATGCAAACATCTGCCCCCTCCCTCTCTCTCTCGCTCCTCTTTCTTTCTCTCTCTAAAATATAAAACGTGGCGCCTCCGACACTTCCCTCTGTCAACTCTCTCAAATCCCCCATTTCTCTCCTCATTTTTCTCTCTCCCCCTCTGATTCTCTCTCTATATAGCTGTTATATCACTATATAGTCCAGTCTGGAGTCTATGCACCTCAAAACACGCGTATATATATATTTAGAGAAACATATAAGTGTCGGTACTGTAGCAGCCGGAATCTGATTCCGAATTCGCCGAACGTTTGTCGGAGCTTTATTTAAGCTACAGTTGTTTGCTGTTCATTGAAGTCTCGGACATTTGTAGCTGGTAATCGTTGATTATATATCAGAGGTTTGTGTAATTCAATCTGTGTTTTCTTTATTTGTGATTCGAAATCGCTGAAATGGTGTAGTTGTTTTTAATTTTCAACTAGGTGTTTGTTTGTTGGATGACAAATTAGTCTAAGATCTAATGATCTAACTGCGAAAAACTTCCAAAATTTCTGTTTGATAAATTGTGATTTTTATTCTGAAATTGGATTTTTTTGGTATTAGTTAAGGATTGTTGTTAATGTTTAGTAATTATACTTAAAGCAAGTGTTTCAATGATTGAATCCGATTCAAACCTCTAAAAAGATTTATTTATTTATTTATTTATTTCCGCACAGAAACACATTTTTTTTGCCCATTTTAGCGATTGTTGGATTAGGGGAGAGGTTGCCTGTTGATTTTTGTTTCCGAGAATATGTTGGCGTCTTCCAGGAATTTGCTGTATATGTTCTGAAAAGAAGAAATTGTTTTGGTGCTTAATTTTAGCTGGAGTTTCACTGTTTTGGTGTACTATTTTGATTTCCTGATAAAAAATCAAGACATATTATTATGTTTTTGGTCCAATTCCTAGTTTAGCCATTTCTTTTTAGTTTAAATTTTAAAATTTAAAGCATATCTCTGAAAGTTAGCAATTTCTTGTTAGTATAGATTTGAAAATTTAAAGCATATCTCCCGAGAATAAAATCTAGGGCATGTTTTTTACTCCCCCTCTCTCTCTCTCTCACACACACAGAGCACACACACGGGGGAGAGAGAGAGTTGCAACACAAATAATACACACCACCTGCATGTCATTTGTTCCAACCCAGAACCACTCTACCGAAAGAAAAAAAGAAAAGAAAAGAAGAAGAGATAAAAAAAAAAGAAGATATTGTGACATAAGCAACGCACAACTTGCATGTCATTTGTTCTAATGCTAAATCTCTCTCATGCACAAATACGCCCGCATGAATTAGGTATGCTGTAATCAATTTTTTTTGCCCCTAGTTAATGATACTCATCAAAATTAAGCTCGAACCCTTAAAATTTGGTAACAAGTAACAAATATATTGGATGTTTTGACATGGTGCTTAGCTTTATTACTCTCTTATTTTTTTCTCCCAGATTTTTCCAATGTATTTGTCACTTCCTTCATTCCTTTGTTTGCTTCAGAGATATCATCTTCACTGAAACATTTTGGTCATAATTGTTCTTGATACTAATCTCTTCTCCACATGCCTTTACTGCAGTTTGTTATGGGAATGAATAGAATTTTCTTTTGTCTATGAGGGTATTTATATCATGGAGGTGGCTGTTGAGAAAAAGGCATGTCTTATTTGATGGGGTACGTTCTATGCAAGCATACTAGAATTTGTTTAATTTTGATATTAAGTGTGTGGATAGAAGTTATGAGTACCTTGTTGATATTCTAGAGGTCTAACTGAAAACTGTTTTATAGTTCCAACCAACATAAAGATGGGAGTGCAGGGGACATGCGGAGTTAAGATGAAACAAGTGCCGTTTTTGGGAATTGTTTGTACAGTTATGTTGTTCATTGTATATAGAACCACAAACTATCAGTATCTACAGACAGAGGTATGGTGACACTTCCAATAATTCAAATTCAAATATTTAAACTTCGGGTTATCATTTCACTGCTAGTAGACTGCTTAACCTATTGATGGCATTAAGATATTACACATCCTAGGGGTTGCCATCAAAGATATCACACATTCTAGGGGTTCAATATGAAGAATATCTGATTCTACTACCACCTCAAGGAAGGCATTATATGATTAGTCAGAATAATTGTCAAAAATTTCAGTATAGAAAGATATCTTTGCCCATGTTATTCTTTTATGATATCTTTTTCCATCTTCATCCTGGGTCATGAATCACTTCAGAGTACTCATCCTCTGCTAGTTAATAGTGCAGACTGAACCCCTGATAATAAATCATTCCTATGGCTAATCAGCAAGTCACATACATAATTTAATAATACCCTGTTCTTGGTATACTGGTGTGCTTCCAAAGTTGGGTCTTTTTTTTCATTTTTATCAGTTTCCTACCTGGTGCGCTAACTCATAATTTTTTTTATCCAATCATCAGATGGAGTCAAAATTGTATCCCTTTTACACATTTAAGGTAAATAATTCATATCAGTTCCCTTTTTTTTTTTTTTTTTTTTTTTGTGCCCTTTTGCCTATCTTATTTTGAATTACATGTGATAAGTGATCTACAATCTTTTGGAATTCTTTTAGCTGATTTATTCTATTTGTGAGGGGTGGATATATATGTATATATTCCAGAAAGTGTGGGGTGGATAATGCATTGCAAATGTTCTTTATGTTTATTGTCTATCTAAGGTGTTTCTGATTCTCCGGTCTAGGATTCTGGTGTGGCTTCCACAAGTTTGAAGAATTTACCCCGTGGTATCATTCAAGCTAGATCAGATTTGGAGTTGAAGCCTCTTTGGTCGACGAGTAGTTCAAGGTCAAAGGTTAGACTCTGGTCCTCTTTTACTCTGGTGCGTCAAAGAAAGGACTTCTTCTGCATTATGCACTTGACTTCCAGTCACAAAGAAGTTACAGTTGTACTTCTGGTCACAAAGTAGTAACAATTGGTTGAATTTGGATAAACATCATATTCTGTCGGTGACTTTTGATATGCATGGTATAATCTGCTAAAGCTGTGTTAGGGTCGTACAAACAGTCTTTGAATTTTATACATTTATATACATATATATCTATATATACACACACCTCCCCTTCAAACCCTGATTCATATTTTTCATAGAGAAATATTTGATCAAGAATAATAAGATCTATTTGGCATCATATCTAAGGGATTCCTTGATACGGGCCGAAGAAGTAATGTCATTCGATCATATTATCAAACTGATTGCAATATTTTTCTGTCGATGAGGATCCCGCCAGAGTGACTTATACTTCTAATAGGCCATGAACTAAATCAAAATCATTCTCAATGATTCCATTACAAGTGATTCCATTTTCTTCATCGGTCTGGGTAGAACAAAAGATCTTTGAACGACCGATCCGGCAAAACAACTCAAAAGATAAAGATATATTGTTAATTTCTTCATGCTCGTTCCAAGTTCAAAGTACCATTGGTACAAATAAGAGTCACCTTCGTTATGTGATTTCTTCTTTTATAGGATCTAACGGGCAATTACTTTAGAGTACATTTTGTGCAACAACCCTCCCTATTCGATGGAATAGGATCCCATGATCCTCTAAACTGATCTTTTAACCTGGGATCACAAATCCCAAGTTTGTTTATGAAGAGTGGATCTATTGTATTACAGTCTAATTGTTTTTTTTTCTAATCGACGGGACCTCAATGGTTGTAGTATTTGGTTTCTTTTAATTTTCAGGTCAAAGTTTCTAGCAATAGTTACTTGCTGGCAATTCCAGTTGGTATTAAACAGAAGCGTAATGTTGATGATATTGTTCAAAAGGTATAACAATTTATTGATCTTTTGACATTTAAATGGTATAACATTTCATTGTGTGAACAATCTTTGCCTAATTTCAGTGAATTCAGTTTCTTTCAGAGAATTTTACAATCATTTTATTCCATTATGATGGCCATGTGGATGGATGGTGGGATCTTGAGTGGAGTAACAAGGCCATACATATAGTTGCTCAGAACCAAACAAAATGGTAAGGTTAACCACTAGTAGTTGAGTTTTTTGTCATGGATATATGAGTATGAAAATTAGTGGTTTATTGGAAGTAATATATTTATACAACCCTCTGGAGGAGATTCAAACACACATAAATAAATTATGAATCTCCAGTGGGGGCAGAATTCGATGAGTCCAGCTTCTGATGCCTCTTGGACCAAAGTTTGACATAATCTGGTTATACGAGCTACTTAAAGCCTCGTAGGTTCGATTTAAGATTTGCATAATACAACTCACATTTTTTCTGTGGCTTGGGACTATCTCCGCAAGTAGATGAAACCCTAAACAAGCAATTAGTGACTCTATTATTTTTTTTTTCATACCATATATTTCTTTTTTCTGGGGGTTTTACTTGGGATATTCTATGTAATGAGTTCTGAAGTCTGAACTGGCTGAAAAGTGGAACGTTTTGGATCTCTTTATTGGGGGGTTCTATTCAATTTATGGATCGGTTTTTCTTGCTATGAGATCTTTCTGGTGGACTCATCGAAAGGCAGCTCCTTTTTCCGCCTTTCCTGGAATGAACCTTTTTATTTTTTTTTATTTTTGCCGAGGGAGGCATTCTTGTGCTTTCTAATCCAACTTGGTAGGTAATAACAGATTTAATCCTTATATGGTGTCATTGTTTTATTTATTTATTTAGGTGGTTTGCAAAGCGCTTTCTTCATCCAGCTGTTGTGTCCGTTTATGATTATATATTTCTCTGGGACGAAGATTTGGGGGTGGAGAATTTTCACCCAGGAAGGTACAGCTAACATGCTTTTGGTTCTCTGTTCAATTTTAATATTTTCTGGTAAAAATTTGTCTGTGGATGCACTGGAAGTTTAGAACATTATGAACTTAAAGGTTAAATTTTGTTTATTTCTCAGAAGAATTAACACAATCTGTAACAAACATCTGAAACTCTGGTTCAACCTAAATGTGTAAAATTTTAAGTGTTTTTTTGGCTATGATGATTGTCTACACATTTTTCTTCTCCTCCCCCACTTCGTCTCTCTCCCTCTCTCTGTGTTCGTGTCATTGTTGGAAATTTTGGCATCTGAAGACAATATTATATTTCTTCAGATCCATTTGCACTTTCAGGAACTGAATACACAGTTTATCTCAATGCTTTGGTGTCCGTTGAAGCATCCAGGCTAGGAGAAATATACTTGTATCGAAGTTTTATTGGCATTGTGAGCTTGTAATCTTTCCACAAAATATATTGATTTTTTTTTTTTTTTTTTTCCAAGATATTTGGAAATTGTGAAATCAGAAGGATTGGAGATATCTCAACCGGCTTTAGCGCCAAATTCGACCGGTATACATCACAGGATTACAATACGGAAGAGAACAAACAAGTTGCATAGGTGAGTGTGTGGTGTGTGCAGTTGATATAGCGCATTATTTATTTGGATTCATCTGATGCTAAAACATCAATCTATGCAGAAGAGTCTATGACTCCAGGGGTAGTGTGAAATGTTCAGATGCCAGTGAGGGACCACCATGCACTGGGTAAGTTCCTGTAATTATATTATGTACACAATCTTCTATTTTTCCAAGCTTTTGTTTTTAGTTTGTGGAGTTGGGTAATTAACTGGTTAAGCATACGTAATCTTTCAATTTTTTTGTTTTTATTTTCTAAATGCAGAGAACCTCCTAAAGATGTGATTTCTTTTGTTATATATAAAATTTGACAATTACTCTATTTTTGCAGATTTGTCGAAGGAATGGCTCCAGTCTTTTCAAGATCTGCTTGGCATTGTGCTTGGCATCTTATACAGGTGAATCTAGATATTCCTGACTCGAATAATTTCTGCTGATATCTTCAAAATGTTATTGAAGCACATGTGGCTCTTACGTATCAGCATTGTTGTTAAATATATCATAGGTCACTATATAACTTTTACGATCGGTGACATATTGTAAAAGACCTATATGTATTTTTTTCCATACAACTTCCATTTTGTCATAAAATAATATTAGGGTTGCATGTCAAAACTTTGATGTTGTGCCAATCGAAAAGGAGCATACTTGAAAGTATAAAACCATGTTTTATATTTTGTTTTCTCTGATTTTGGTGGAAGTGGATATTGGGCTTAATCGTTGAAATCTTCTATATTGGGTGTGAGCCTGATTGGGATAAATTTCTTCCATCTAGAATACTTTTGTATAAATTAAATATCCGCATAACCAGTATGTTGAATGAATCGCTGTTTGCCACTTCATTTTCCTTTTTTTCCTTTTCTTTTCTTTTCTTTTTCTTTTTTGTTGTCAATTTGATAATCTTTACAAAGTTGCTTCCAATTTTGTTAGAATGATCTTGTTCACGGATGGGGAATGGACATGAAACTTGGGTACTGTGCACAGGTGAGATTTATTATATCTCGAGTAATTCTGGCATGCTGATTATTTTGGGAAATATATCTGTATGCTAATTCTGAGATGAGAACCACTGAATTATTTATTTATATTTTGTTGTTGTTGTTGCACCCATCAGTATACATCTGTTATCATGAAAATTGTCATTATTCTTTAATGGTGTTGTTGCCTGGTTAAACGCATAATGATTATCTGTCCAACTTCTTTTATTTCATGTTCTCCATTACCCTGTATAATTCATATTTTTGGTAGTCTATGAGCTTTATGTTACCTTTTCTCACGAGCAGACATCTCCACTTACATTTACGTAGTTCTTGAAATCGTTAGTGAAGTCATCTTTGGAGAACCTAAAAACAATGTATTTCTTTTGGCGGCCATCACAACTGTTAGTGGTGCCATAATAAACTCTATTATTACCTATGTCATCACCAGCCAAAAAAAAATCTGCATGGACACAGATTTTATACCGCAATCTGCTCCTCTATCTGTTGTCATAATCACCTGTGCCAGCACCATTGCAATTACTTTCTGGTAATACTGGCATCATTACCACCACCACCACCACCACCACCACCACCATTCTGTGTTGCCATTAACCCATGCTAATTCCATGCTTTCTAAATTCTCTTAATGCTCCAAATTTGAATAGAGTTTAACTTGCCTCTTTTACTTTTGGTTACAGCCAAAAGCTAAGAGCTAAGATGTCTAATTTGTTATCTTAAATCTATTAGTGAGTGTGTGTTTATCTTAAATCTATTATTAGCCCAAGTCCGTTATGAAAATATTACCTAAATACACGTTCTCATGAAACTCAGGTGTGGAAACTGCTACAATTTAAATGTTTCAAATGCTAAGAGTTTATCTCTATTTGTTTATGTTTTCTGTCATTCTTTCTGTCAAGCTATGAATAATAAAATGAGCTATTTTGAATCCTGTCCTGCATTCAATTTCTCACTGCCTTTTGTATATTCTTTGGTTGTTTTTTTCAATCTTTTGTTTCTAAATACTATTTATGAAGGCCAGTAGCCATCCTTAAAGTTCCGGATAAACTTGGTTCTTTACAGGGGGACCGGACAAAGAAGGTGGGAATTATTGATAGTGAATTTATAGTTCATCAGGGCATACAAACTTTAGGTGGCTCATCTGCAAGAAAGGTCATTTCCCTGATTATTTCTTTATAAACTTCTTCCTTCATTTGCCAATGAATTTCTGCATAAACTTTTTCCCGTATTCAAATCATTTCTCCATTGATTCCGTGTGTTAGATTGAATGGCATGACTGCATGTCTGTTGGAATTTTACTTATTGTCTTATTGACTGATATTATATAAATTCCTAAGCATGTATAGATTGTAGGGAGAATGTAGACTAAGTGCTTGTTTATATATATATATTTATGCTGTAAATCTATTTCAAACCAAGGGTTGTAGCCTAGTAGTGTCTCATCTACCTCCCAAAGTGGAAGGTGACGGTTTAAGTCCCCACAGGGGCAAATATGCGAGTTTCTTGCCAAGGATAAAAAAATTATTAATAATAAGTTGATCTTAAGTCTTACTATGTGTACTTTTCCTTTCCTTCTTGAAGGTTTCATATGATTTGAAGGAAAATAGTTCCTAGTAAAATATTCCTGGGAAAGAAATATTTTTAAGGCTGTAAGATTGATCTTTATGGATGTTTTGTCCTGGGCGCTGAGAGAATATATCATTAATTTTAAGTTGGTTTCAGGAGGATATATCTCTTTATGCTTAAACTGTTAATCTTTGACAATTATTCTAGATATATGCTGTTCAGGAAGTTGCAACATTAATGAGTATGATGATATGACTTAGCAAATAATGATCGGACATCTTTCCTTGGGCTATTTTGCCACATTTATCTCCCAGATGCTCCATTTTGACTGGAATTGAATTTCATAATTTTCTGGATGCGTGCATACACTTGTCTAATCACTGATTTTATGTTAATATTGGAAACCCAAGTTTCCTCTTTTCTTTTTGTCTTTTTTTTTTTTTTTCTTTTTCATTTTGTTATTTGGTTCACCTCTCCTGTATTCTTTCGAATTTATACCTTCCCCTGTATATTTCTGAAACTCACCTAAAGCCCGCTCAAGGAAGTTTAAACCTATCTGCACATCTTTTTTCTTACTTTCAGCTCTATTTAGGGGCCAAATCCTCAATAAAATCATTAGCAATTATGTCTTGTTGCAATTTTCAGTCCTTTCATTACAGTTTCCTTTCGGTTATAACTTAAGCAGTTTTTTAATTTTTAATTTTATTTTTAAATACTCTTATTACTAGTTTGTTCATTGGTTGTCATCCCCTTGGCCAAAACATCTTTATGACAAATTTACACATATTTCCCTAAATTGGTGCCCCTTTTGCTTCTTGATTGCGCCCGTTACTTATTTATGTTGTTATTGTACTGCCACATATTTAAATCAATATCCTGTTAACTTTTTGTTGCTCTGTCATTTCATTCCACTTGGCACTAATGACCTTTTTCTCTTTGTGCAGACATCAAATTCCGAAGAGTCGGTGAAGGTAAACTTTTTTTCTCTCCCATAATCTTCTTCTTCTCTCTCTCTCTCTCTGTCCTGGAAATATATGAAATTATATTTTACTATGAGCAATTTGTGAGGCTTTACTCGGTTCTTAATTTTCACATGCTGTTCATTTCTTTTTATTTTCAGAAATCTGGTGTTGACATGCGATCTGAGGTAAGACAACTGGGACTGATAATGACCATTTTAAAAAATACATAGGCAAAATAGTAAATGATGACAGGTTCCGTCAATGTTATCCAATGAAATGTGGCTTTTGTTTGAATTTGATCGTGTAGATTAGGAGGCAGTCGACATCAGAGCTTCAAATATTTAAAGAGCGGTGGGAACGAGCTGTGAAGGAAGACAAGAACTGGGTTGATCCGTTCCGAAGATACCGAAAACGCAAGCAACAACATAACCAAAGACATTAGTAGCTGAGGGGACACACAAATTGGTTTTGGCTTTCCTTTATACACCATTGATACATCATGTGTTGTAATTTAGTCCATCTATTCTAGGCCCATTGACTCATAATTATTTCATTGTTTTAATAGCCCTAGCTAGATTTTCTTCTTCTGTCATATTTGTTTTTGAAATGCATCAAGTTGTTCTTTTACCCTCCTATATTTTTTCATTGTTTAAGGCCCCTTTTTTTGTTATTCATGGACAATCTTTACTGTTACATAATCATTCAATGAATGGATGGGCTATTAAGCTTCATAGAACTTTGTTTTTGTTTTGCTCAAGCTCGGGTTCATGGGCTAGGGAGGTACGTTTCCGGGTTTGTGTCTAATCTGGATTATTTTATTTTATTTTATAATCGTTTAGGACTTGCTTGGTTTGTAACTTTGAAAACAGTTATTAGAGATCCATAAAATAGATAACAGTTTTTGGAGAACTACAAAAGAATTTTATTTGAAAACATGCCTTTGTATAGTTTTTTATTTTTAATTTTTCGAGATCAGAAAATTGTTTTTATAGTTACAAATCAAACATGTTTGTAAAGACACAGAATGGGAAGATTTAAGGAGACAAAGAACACAGAAAGTCAATGTGTATATTAAGCACACATTGAGAAAACATGTAACTATCTTTTACTCAAAGTAAATTCTAGGTTGGATTATTATTCATGGTTAATGCGGAGACTCACATCAAGAATATTCCAAAACATCTTGGGACAGATCAGATCTTGCAATGTGCGCATTACAACCAAAATTTTATAAATTAGTTCTTCAAAGTACTAATTCATGTATAATAAATTAAGATTTAAAGAAAGGGATGATCATTATGTGTAATATTTTATAATATAATATGAATATAATACTTAAAATCAATAAACGTATAAAAATAAAATTTAAATATGGGTTCGGGTTGAATTTGGGTTTTTATTTAAACTACAAAAACGTGAAAAAAAAAAAAAAAAAAAAAAACCTTTACAAGTTTACGGTAGTCGGTCACGAGTCAACAAAGGCTTCCAAAGGGACAACATAATAAAGCTTTCTTTGGAAACTTTGTTGAAAGCTTCCTTTGGAAGCTTAATAAAGCTTCGACAAAGTTAAGCCTGCAAAAGGAAGCTTTGTAATGATAAATTATTGTACTCCACCTGTCCCCCACCCAAAAAAAAAAAAAAAAAAATCCCTTCTTCAAAATTGAGATGCACTGAAAAAAGAAAAAAAAGAAAAAAAAAAAAAGGTCCTTTTCTCACCATTCCCAACAAGGGATTTTTTTTTAAACAGAGTGAGTATATATATATATTAGGAAAAATTACATATAAATGGAGTTAAAGTTCCATATTTACTTAGAGGCTGAGTCAAAGTTCCATATTTCTCTAAAATGGATTGCTGAGGTGGCACATGGTTTTTTACTGTTTAGAAATTGTGATGCCTAAAATACCCTTCCGCGAAGGTACTACTTTTTCTTCGAAGGTACTACTTTTTTGAACTGAAGGTACTACTTTTTGGCGTTCAGGTACCATGTTTTTTAAACACTCGCGAAGGTACTACTTTTTCTCCGAAGGTACTACTTTTTTGAACTGAAGGTACTACTTTTTTGAACTGAATGTTCAAACCATTCCCTATATATTACTCTTAGACTCCAAACAGTTTTTTTTTTTTTTTTGCTTCACAAGAATATTAGGAATTAGTAATTAGGAAAGAGAAAGAGGGTGTAAGATTTGAACATGGGAGCAACCAAATCATTCGGGCAACACAAGGCTTTCTCAACTTCTCATCTCAGGCGTTGTGTATGTTGCATTTTCACAATATTTTCAAGTTTTCCCTAAAATGATAGTATTTGTTAAAAATGTGAGAAAATATATAAAGGAATGAAAAAATATTATATTGTATTAAATTGAATATAAAGAATACACGAAGGTACTGTATATAGGAAGAGATTTAGGAGTGAGTGAGTGATGATCAAGTCATCTATACATTATAACTAAGTAAGTAGGTGGAGGAATGCATGGTACCTGACTAGGTGTATAAAACCCAATTTATATCTAAGGGATATTATAATAATTTTATAATCTAACGGTATTGAACATTCTCACTTTCCTTTTAATTTAAAAAATTAAAGAAAATGTCACGATGAGAAAAATACTCCCGGTATATATAACATCATGATGTAGTAAAATTACATGATAGAAATTAATGAATGAGGGCTCAAATTCACCATTGTGTAAACTAACTCTTACTAATGAATATAACAAATTCAAATAAAGTAAAATTTTAAGACATAATTTACTAGTAGGTTCTTACAATCTTACCTCATATCTTAGAGTTTGAAAGTTGAATTCTCTTAAAACAAAACTTTTATAATAATTATTTTGCGTATGAGACGTTACATGTGCTCAATCATAAATTATAGAGTATTTTAAAAGATTAAATATTACCATCAAGAAAAATAAATTACATAATAATAATAATAAGGGTGAACTATTAGGCATTATTTCTGGCAATGTCCCTTTTTAATAAATCTATATTAAATGAAAATCAATAAAAACTAAATAAATGAATGTACAATATAATTCTCAAATATATATATATATATATATATATATATATATATATATATATATATATATTGCAAATAAATTTCAAGAAAAAAAAAAACCTAGATTTTTTTCCTAAAAAAAAAAAAAAAACCCTTGATTTATATTGGTATGAAGGTTAGATGGAAATGCAAATATATTTAAATAATATTTAATGATACATATTATATATATCATTATATTATGATACAAATTATATATAATATTATAATGATGGGTAAATAAAAGAAATTGAACAAGAAGAAGAGTACATGTTATTGCAATGGTTTTTTTTTTCAATATAAATCTAGGTTTTTTTTCTTAAAATTTATTTGCTATATATATATATATATATATATATATATATTTGAGAAGTGTATTGTGCATTTATTTATTTGGTTTTTATTAATTTTCATTTTATATAGATTTATTAAAGGGACACTACTAGAAATAATGCCTATCTTTTTTTTTTTCCAATATAAATTTAGTTTTTTTTCTTGAAATTTATTTGCTATATATATATATATATATATATATATATATTTGAGAATTAAATCACCTCCCTCTAATAATTAGTTAACGGAAGTTACTTAAACCACATCTCTCTAATAATTGAGGGGAGTTTTTTGATAAAAAAAATAAAAAATAAAAATTTAGTAAAAAATACAGATAAAAAAAAAGAAATTTAATGTAATTCATCCTAATAATAATATACCTCTGTGCAGATGATATAGGACACGTAGGAGTAACCAGAGATAAAGAGGACACCTTCGAAAATATTCCTTTAATATTCTCAAGCTTTCCATCGTGGAAGTCCCGTCGTCCATGGTCAACTTGTCATCAATTGAAGAGGACAAAGAGACAAATACGAGAAATATATAGCTATTTTTTACATTGGATCAACATCCTTTTTGGTGTATGTGTCCAGTTCTCACATTACGGAGTTATTTAAGAAATTAAATATAATAATTGTAAGTAAATAAATAAAGATGTGGTGGTGTCACCAGAGTGATAAAAGGTTTTAGAATCCTACCTTACATCGTCCCATTCTTTTTTATAAATAAAATGTACTAGGACATTCATATTATTTAATATATACATTTAAATTCTTAACATTTAAAAATATATGTAACAAAATACTAAATCTCTCTTCTCTCTCATCCCCAAATCAGTGTTTTTTTAATTTTTAATTTATTTTAAAGACATTTTAAATATTTAATTTTTAAATTGATAAAATATCTTTATTTATTCAATTTGAGTTTTTTTAAAAAATATTTACAACATGGTTAGTAGCAGTTAAAATCACGGTGTAAAACCAATGAATTAATCTATATGGTAGCGTAACGGAGTTGAAAAAGTGAGTATGAAAGCCTGCAAGGGACAATATCTATACTCATTTGAAGAGATCGGAGAGAACAAAGAGACAGTCCTAGCAGTCCATGGTCACTTGATGATCATTCGAAGATAACAAAGAGACAAAGACAAGAATTCCATATTTTGATATTGCAACAATGGGATCATGCTCTCTCTTTCTCTCTCCATCTCTCCAGGAGAAAGTTGGCAAGAGAAGTCGTGGGTTCCAAAGCTCATTAGGTTATATAAAAACACACAAGTCCTCACTTTCTCTCTCTACAATTAGCTTCTCGTTCAATCTGTCAAGCTTTAATTTCCTCACTCCGCACTTGTTATATTTCGACTGATTCATCTTATTGTCTACTTATCTCTCTCTCTAGAATTGGTGTGTACTGGACTGAGCTTTACTCATGGCTGGCCGTTATGATGCCAACCCTTTCGCGCCCGAAGAAGAAGTTAATCCCTTTTCTGTAAGTGCCTCAGCTCTCTCTCTCTCCCTCCTTATATATGTATAATCATATATATTCGTAATTTATATGTATATTAATTGAATGAGTTTGGTGGTTTTGGAGTGTACACTTTGTAGTACTCAAAGGTCTGTTTGGTTAAGAATAATTTTCTTTTTTTTTTAAACTAAAAATAAATAAATAAAACTATAAAAAGTTCTACTTGGTTAATCATTTCTAAAAACTCAATTAAAAATAGACCTGTTTTGGAAGAAAACCATCTTTGTTTTTAGGAAAAAATAGTTTTATATTTTGTGAGAAATTATTGTTTTATATTATGTGAGTGGTTGAGTTGAGTATGAGAACCATCTTTCGGTGCGTCGGTGTCCAAGAGTTCTAGACCATAGCTCCGGGTGTGAATTGATGGCGTGATTCTTTATAAAAAAATGATACATCTTCCGAATTCAGAGGACGCCAATAGAGCATTGTGTGAGTGAGGATGTGGGCCCCACCACATGATATCACATCCTCAATTCGAAGGATGTATCATTGCTCTTCTTTTATGTGTTCTTCTCTCTTTCAATGTTATCATAATGTGCTTTGTTACTATTTGCTTGTCACTCTTTCTCCAAGCTCTTACACATACATTATATTTTGGGATTTTTCCAGAATCATAGAAATGCTCCTGCCACAAACTCAAGGCTTTCACCTCTTCCTCCTGAACCTGCGGACTTCAGCTATGACCATCGTGCCCCGATCGACATTCCTCTTGATACACCTGCTACAGCTATGGTATATGCAAATTTTGACATCGGTGAAAATGGGACATCCAATTTGCCATTCGTATTTCTTCCATATACATTATTATTGCATTCTTCGTTCGCGGCGTTTCTCTAAATGTAGATTTGTTGTCAAATTTAGGATTTAAAAAAGAAGGAGAAGGAGCTGAAAGCTAAGGAGGCTGAATTGATAAGGCGGGAACAGGTAACATGCACATTTATTTTGTTTGCATTGTTGTCTTCACTCCTTCCTCATCTTGGATTACGAATAAGTTATTTTTTATGCATATTTGCCGAGTTTTCGCTACATATAACTATTTCAGTATTTTTATGCATAAAGAGTAGTTGTTTTTAATTACTAGATTTCTTAATTCTTATATGGAAGGCCATTCTTTCTTTGTAAAATTGTTGAACTCTCTGTTTAAAACAATCTCTTGCATAATAATATAAATTTTGCATAATTGCATCTAATTAATTGTATACTTCCTTTGCAATATGTTAAAATACTAGTTTGGGTATCCAACACTAACATGAGGTGGTAAACACAATCACATCAAAAATAAGTTGAATTGGGTATCGGAGTCCATAAATGTATCAACCATAAAATAGAGTGTCCTTCTTGTGAAAAATATCTGTTTATGCAACTTTGCTTATCAGAAAATTGTGTCATTACTATTACTTATTTGGTTTCATGATGTTTTGAAGGAAGTAAAGCGGAGAGAAGATGCTCTGGCCCGAGGTGCTCCCTCTCTTAATTCTATTTTATTTTTCATTTTAATTTTATACTTATGATAGAAAAGAGTGGAAAAAGAGAATCTACGTGGCCAACCCAGTTTGTACGGGATAAAGGCAAAGATGATGACGATGATGATGTTAAGTTAAAACATTTATGATTTTTTGGACCTAAGTAGGAATCTAGTTTGTCCACTGTGTTTTGCATGGAATGTGGCGAGTGCACTGTGAGCTTACTTTCAGATTTTTATTTTATCTGATCAGGGTTATTTTTTAGTCTGCTTGGTTCGGAAAACTGAAAACCGAAAATCAATTTGAAAATTTGTTTGTTTGAAATTTGAGTTACGAAAAAGAAGGCTTGATTTTTTTGTAGTTATCTGAAAACTGTTTCTATTTTCAGAGTTTATGGAAATTGTTTTATGATAACTGAACCAAACAAGCCCCATGTCTTCATATACTCTACCACAAGTTATGTCTGGCAATTGACAAGCTGAGTTCTTCCTTTGGCTTTTGCAGCTGGAATCATTCTTGAACAGAGAAATTGGCCGCCATTTTTCCCAATTATCCACCATGATATCATGAACGACATACCGATTCATTTGCACAAATTGCAGTATGTTGCATTCACGACGTTGTTGGGTATGTCAACCTTTCTTGGTTTTATGGAAGTTTAATTTTCCTTGTTAGCAAAAGTTCAGCATGCAAACATATATCTATATATATGTGTGACCTAAAATATGTTGTAGTATGTCTGGTTGGTGACATTATGCTGCAATTTCTAGCTCTATTGCATCATCTCATCACCTCATCGTTTAAGCAACTTACTTTTTTTTTTCCTATTGTTTTTGGATGTGGTTTTCATGAATAACTTCATATGCATCTTAAATTTATAGTACAAGTTAATAACTTACAATACAAGCGCGGAAAATATAAAAACAGAGAATGTTTTACAAGGGGGAGAGAGAAAACTACAAAAGATAATGTAAACTTCAGATGCCGAATGCTTGGTTCAGCTCTGCGTTAAATAGAAAAAGAAAAGTAAAAACAATTGATCGGATAAGATCGAATCTTGTTTTCTACTGTTCTGGAAAGTGTATGGTGACAACTTTCACTGTTGATGAATAGTTTGTCGATTACTTTCACTGTTGATGAATAGTAGATGTGACATTGCCTTTTGTCGTGTGTTGGATTGTGGTGTAGTCGATTATGATGATTTGTAAAATGCATATGCTTGTTATCTTAATTAAGTTCCAAAATCTCTGAAACACCAATACTCTTCCTTTTAGATGGCCAATGAAAACCTTAGAATCACCCTCAATTTGAATTCTCCTGATTCTGTTCTTCACCTATCTGTGAAATTCCACTTCACACCCGTCTACCACTGGACACAGCTATATTCTGTCACTGTTAAAATACTTTCTCTAATAACATAGGGGTACCTTTAAAATCCTTAACATTAAAGCCTAAAGCCGTGAATCATTTACTGTTTCTTATATAGATAATCTTATCTTCTTCGTCTAAGCTGCTCAACCAAGTGAAAACATTTTCATGTTGGTGCATTGAGTGTGTTGGGGGACGGGATTAAATATTGCATTCGCCGCGGCTTTTAAAATTAGGCCATCTTAGACTGGAGTTTCTGCTTGTAAAATATAGTATGTATGGCGGGAACCTTTTTGTCTGTATACATCTAAAGCTAATTTAGAACAATTCATTGAAGATGGAACATGATAGTTTATAAATGATGATGGTGCAGGAATGGCAGTGTGTCTTACATGGAATATTATTGCCACAACTACAGCATGGCTTAACGGGGAAGGTTAGTATGGAAAGATTTCTGATGTAAGTCTATACTTCACTTATTTGTGCTCTATTCTTCACTCCCAATTAACTTAATTTTACTTTTCTTGATACAGACGCAAAAATTTGGTTTCTTTCTATTATCTACTTCATAGCAGGAGTTCCAGGAGCCTATGTGTTGTGGTATCGTCCGCTTTATCGTGCATTTAGGTACTAATGTTTATATTTTTCATAAAATTAAGTTGTCCATTTATAGAGTAGATCACTTCATATCAGGAGTTCCAGGACCTTGAAGTTTAATTACTTCCTCCAATGTAAGTTTTGATCGGCCTCCTTGTCATTTACCTTCTAGGAAAACAACACTACCTCTTCTAACTGGAGCATCATCAGGTCATCAGGTCTCACTACCTGTGCTTATTGTGACTGGTGGGCGCTTGCCCATTTACCCAAAAGCTCGAACTATTGGGTAGTGCTGCATACCCACCCATTTATATACACTTCAACCCCCATCCAAATCCGATATGGGACAAGTATCACTTGTAACATTCTCCCCCACCCAAACCCACGCAACGCCCTCGTTGCGGTCAGACCACCCTGTCTACCCGAACCCACGCAATGCCCTCATTGCGGTCAGACCACCCTGCCTACCCGGAGGCCTTTCGAGCCGGGCGCTTGGCGTGACACCGGATTAAGGACTGGGTCTGACTCTGATACCAACTGTAACGGGTGGGCGCTTACCCATTTATCCAAAAGCTCGAACTATTGGGTAGTGCTGCATACCCACCCATTTATATACACTTCAACCCCATCCAAATCCGATGTGGGACAAGTTTCACTTGTAACATTATGCTATGAATATAGTCATTATGAAATTTTTTTTTATCTTGAGATAACCTCAACACTGTTGTTACAGGACTGAAAGTGCAATGACATTTGGATGGTTTTTCCTGTTTTATGTGGTAAGCTTTTCTATGTTCTTGTTGTAACAAATCTATCGTCTACTTTAACTTGTCTTGGAATATGATGATTCACTTTTCTCCTCTACCAACAGCTTCACATTGGATTCTGCATCTTTGCCGCCATCGCACCTCCTATAATTTTCAAAGGGAAATCTATCACGTAAGTTCGTTCATACTCCTTTAAACATTTTAGTCTGAAGTTGTATTTGGCTTACTCTTCTCTCGTGTTCATTTGTTTCTCTAGTTCTTGTTAACAAAGTCGGTCAATTTTAATTTTCTTTATACTAAATTCGTGTGCTAAATTAGTCGGTTCATGTGTTTTTTGAGTCTTTATACTAAATTCGGCCTTCTGTTGTACCATGGAACAGAGGTATCCTGGCTGCAGTAGCTATCATGAACAAGCATACCTCAATTGGGGTGAGTTTGATTCCTGTAGCACTTATTTTTTTGGCACACACACACACATATATATATATATATTTATAATTTTCTTATAATCATTTTGAGATTACTTGACCCTCTACATTATTGTTGGAATTCTTTTTCTTGGCATAGGAGATTTGACCTCAAACGAGATGCACACACAAAGCCAAGGATTTTTTCTAAATTATATTAATTGGTTTCCTTCTTGTTCAGATAGTATACTTTGTCGGATTCGGACTATTTTGCCTTGAATCAGTACTCAGCATTTGGGTTATCCAGGTCTAATTCTTAACTTCATTTCTTGTGGTAAAAACTCCAAGTATAAATGTACCTTGCAGGACTAATTTATTTTGTTTTTTTTTTTTTTTTTTTTTAAATTTTCTGTGGCATTACGTACTCGTCGTGCAGCAAGTATACATGTACTTCCGAGGCAGTGGCAGAGCTGCAGAGATGAAGCAAGAGGCTGCAAGAGGAGCTTGAGAGCAGCAATATGATAACACTGCTACCTGAATGATGAAGGCTAGAGCATCATGACCCTTTGGCCACAATTAGTATAGCATATAGATAAAGTGATTTGTTTCAGTTGGGTATTTTGTTGCCCTTTTGTTCGCTCTCAATATACATTCTTTAAATAAAAGCGCTTTTAAGTGGCTGAAAAACAATCTCAAACAATACATTTTTGTACGGATAAACTCAAGGATAAAAAAATATATATGAAGCCCTCAACTTTCATGGTTTCAGAAATTATTCCCTTTAACTTATAGATAATAAGTAGTTTTTTTATTTTATTTTATTTTTTTTATTTGAAGTAAGTAATGCTTTTAAGAGAGCCTTCTGATAAGGACAAGAACTCTCCATATTTAACCACCAGATGACAATTTTTTGATATTTGTAAAAAAATCAAATGAATTATTTAGTACGTTTAGAACTTTCTTAAGCGGATTACTCTTTTGTTTTCTTATATCGGCTTAATTACCAAGCAAGTATTTTGTCAGATTGGAATCATTTATGTGCAATTGATCCAACCTTCCTAGTCAAATCAAAAACTGAATTGAACCCGGTTCAAGTTAGCTGAAACCGGTTCAAATCTGTTAGTGCTCTAGATATTTTATATTAGTGGGAAAAGAGATAAGGAAGAAAGCTAATCACCTTCCAGCTAGTGCCAAACCATTAGTGCCATTTTAGAAGGAAATAATCACGTGGTCCATACGCAACCCACTACTACTTTCATTTCTCATTCCCTCGCCTTACCTTTGTATTTACAAAAGTAGCCTCCTCCTGCTCAACTTTATCAATTTTCTAAATTACCAAGTTACCCTTAGGCGGTTGGAGTAGTGATGTGTACACTACTCCACTCGCGTCACATCTCACCTCCCAAGTCCCACAATGAAACCCTAGCTCCTACACAGATTCGATGTGCGTACAGATATTGTATTGCATCAGACGACTTACAACACACGTATTTATTGATTGTGCACACGTATTGATGGTGTTGTATTGCAAGTTGTCTGATCAAGATTTGGGAGAAGAAGTGATATACATTCTTTGTGTTGTATTTTGTTAAGTTGTCTAATTCTTTTTTTTTTTTTTTTTGGGTGCATTCATTAATTTGAGAATACAATGTGCTACTACTTTGAAAATGCAACTCTTTATTTAAAATAATAGACGTCACACTTTTGAATTAATTGGTGTCTCATTCTTGAATCAAAATTTCCTTCGATGAGCTTTTTACAATGTTTCATTTGATGGGTGGAGTTCATTATTGTCTAATGGTGTGAAATATCTTACTTTCCAATGTGTACTTGAAAAAACAAAAGGGTGGAAAATAGACAACTATGGATTAAAAAAACAAAGGGCATTTTTGTAAAGTTGTTGTCTATATAAGCAAACACACCACTCTTCATCATAGCACCAAACTAGCACATTCACATTTCACGATAAGAGAGCACACGAACCAGAAATTCTCAACTTCTTCAGAGTTCAGAGGTTTTAATCAGCTGTGAAAAGAAACAGAGATGGCAAACCAGAGGAGGGCTATGGTGAACGGTGGGATGGTATCCCACAAGTTTTCTGGCCGTCCGATACCCAAGAGAGGCCAGGTGAAGGCTGGGATTGTCTTAGTTCTGGCCAACTCTTTTGCTGCTATCTTCTCTCTCAACAGGTGATCATTGGCACCTATATATTTTGAACATTTTAGAGAGAGAAACAAAGAGAAATAGAGAGACAGAGAGAGAGAGACTGTATGTTGTATTGGGAAGATCTGAACCGTTTGATTATTGTTTCCAAGTGATTGTAGCTGTGACCAATATTTTACTTACTACTCTTAAATCACATGCATCATGGCTTTGCTAATCACAGTCTCCTTTTGCGATTGTGACTTTACAATTGTTTGTTCTAGAATCAGATTTCATTAAATGTATTAATTACTTAAGTTTCTATTTTTATGAAATTTTACAAATATTACTTTTTTGAGACAAATATACCTTTTTAAATTATATAACATTTCTTCTTCTCTCCCCTTTTAATCTATTTCTCTCCCCTTTTAATCTATCATATGAAAAATGTGTGTGTATATATATATAATAATTACTGCTGTGTGAATGAATTCTAAAAAAGGAAAAAAAAATTATAGTCAGGATAATCCATTCTCATGAATTCTGAAGAAAAAAAAGAGCTAGAACAAAATCCGAAAAGAAAAAATAATAATAAAAAATAAAACAGAGTGAGAAAAGAATCAATATACAAGATAGATTATGAGATTTTTAAAAAATACAAAATTAGTTACACACACGCGCCAGTGTATATATGTTTCTTTTTGTTTTTATTTTTATTTTTACAACTATCCTTCTTTAAATGAATTTTTTTAAAAAACAAGTAATTCATTCACCAAAATAGTTGTAAAAATAAATATATACGTGTATATACAAACGACTGTGATTATTTGAAACTACAATTCACACATTGCCATTAAAATTTTATTGACGTAAGACATTCCAGTAATACAAATTTATAACTAATGCTATTAATAGATGTTTTTGACATCATTATTTGTATATACGTAGTTTTAATTTTCATGGTTAAGAATGACGTGTCACGTAAAGAATGAGGACAAAATAATAACATTTTAAAAAATATAATAATCATTATTATGGTGTTACATTCTTTGAGAGTTATTAGGGTATATTTGTACAAGATTGAAATTAATACATAGATGGATGTTAAAGCATTAGGGACTAAGGACTCGTTAGAGCCGAAATTATAGAGTAGAATAGACAACTAGATCTAAGCAAACTAGAAAATGTTACTTATATAAATGACACTTTGACACCTATAATGTTGTGCAAATGACACTTTAGTCTTTCAACAACTAGATTAAAATATGTAAATTAACGACACTTTGGGCCTCATTCGTTGTTGGGCTCAGTTTATTTTAGTTTCGGCTTCGTTTTGACATGTTTCAATTTTGGCCAAACGGACTTAAAGCCCAATATTTGTTGGCCTTGGATATGACATAATTGGTATAGTGTCCAGCCCACCGAATAAGTGTGTATATTTTCTATTTGCTTCCTATTTGAATGGCCAAAACTCTGAAAAAATAAAAATAAAAAAAAATATATTTTCTATTTACTTTCTATTTGAATGGCCAAAACTCTGAAAAAAAAAAAATAAATCCAACCAGTCGGACATTGAACCAGAAATGAAGGAAACTAGTTGACATTTTCAAAATTTCCATATTTTATGTGGCTTATGATGTGAACACACAACTTGTTTTTAAAAAATTATTTTATCTTGTCAAATAAAATAAATTGAGAATATAATGTGAACACAACAACTCAACAAGGTCAAGGAGTATGAGAGTATCCATATTAGTAATATTTTCAAGTCTTAAAAAGTCATTATCACCCAAACATGGCCTTGACACACCAAAAATTGCATAAACATTCAAGTCTTCGAGAAAGTTTTGCTTGAATCTTGACAGAATCGTGTTGTGGCTGCGTGCACGTTTTTGCAATAATAATAATAATAAATTAACAGTATCAAAACGAATAGCTTTTATTTAAGAATATTAGACTCTGTTTTTCAATCCATAGATCACCTTAGGTTTTATTATTATTTTTTAAACATAAGTATTGAGTACCAATGTCATATTTCCACTTAAAAAAAAAAAAAAAAAAAAAAAAAAAAAAAAAAAAAAAACCTCCTAAACTTACAATGTATTAACAAAATCCTATGAGAAAAGTAGATAGATCTTATTGGTTAGTGGCAACAACTTCTAATTATTTTAAATTATAAATGAATGGAAACAATCATATGGTGCTTTGAACACTAACTAAAAGTGGAAAAAGATAGAAAGTTCATTGAATTGAAATTAGAAAATACAAAATAAAGCCGCCCCAACAGTGCCTATGATGTTCATGATGACTCCTGGGAAAGAACAGAAACACCACGTGATAGTTTTGTGTGGGACATCACACAATTAAATATTACCTTAATGAAGTATTATTAGTTAACCAAAACCCTTATTTTAGTGGAGGACAACTCTGCAATAATCTCATTATCTTGTTCAAAACCATCAGTTCCTTCAAAAGACATAAATACCCTTATTTATCCTTTTATTTATTATTATTTTTTTTTTTCTTTTCTTGTTTTACAATGTAAAATTCAAAGGATTGTTTTATCATTTCACTATGTGTTTATCATGAAAACGATACTTCTTTCTAGTGTATGTCACTATTGATTTTATGCAGGGAGTTAAGTGTTAAGGTTGTAAATGAATCGAGCTGAAACAGAGTGAATTTCAGTTCAGCTCGAAATCAAGACGGGTTCGGAAAGTTGAGTTCAGACTTAGTTCGTCATCATCGTGAAAAGTTTGAGTTCACCTAACTCATTTTAAAAAAAAATTAAAAAAATAAATAAATGAAAAAACACACAATTTCATATTTTTGTTCGGGACTTGATTTGAGCTTATCTTCAACATTGCTTTAACTCATTCATAAACTTATATGAGACTACACAAACCTGTGTTCATGAATTTACCTTTATGAACCTATGCAAGCCTACACAAATGCATTTTATGAACATGCGTGTGCATAAACCTATATCATGAAGACATACGGCCTTTGTATTAGTTCACCCATACAAACCTACACTAGTTTAACTAATGTTCAATCACGAGTTTATATAAACTAAGCCTAACGTTGTTCGAGATTGATTTGTATGCTAAAGGAGCTTAAAAAGCAAGCTCAAACTCGACTTATTTATATAAGCTTTAAACAGGCCGATTTGGAATTGTTTATGAACAATTCAATTTATTTCCAGCAAACTCACAAAAGTAAGAATTTACCCTTTTTTTAAAAAAAATTTGTTAAACATCAATAAAAAGGTGAAATGACAATTTCTAAAACTCAACAATGTTGTAATTTACTTATAATCTCTTCTATTTCTTAAAATTGAAGATAAAAATTGAAGACCATTTCAACAAAGGAGTGCGTATAAGTTTCTTGCAAAACAAAAAACAAACATAAAAAATCTAAAAT